GATTACCCCGAGGTCATGCGCTGCCAACAAGTCCTCCCGTCCCAGCAAATGACATTTAAATGTTAACTCCACATCAGATGTCCCCAAACCTCCACAATGCACCGTGTCATTCTTTCCAGCTTTTTCCTCTGCGGCCTGATTAATTTTTTCCTCTACTGGCGTACAGGACACGCATGTTTCTGCTTCCTGTTGTATCAGTAGGTTGGAGTAGAGTTTTATATTGGTTTGACAAGAAATAACTTCTTCAATTGACCCCCATAAAGTTGACATTTTTACATTTCTGTTTATGTAGAAGTTACATTAGCAAGGATGCTTTAGTGTAATTGTATTGACAGATTAATCAACACATAGGCTAGCCCTTTTCCAGTTTTCCCCCTAAAGTCTTTACTTTACGTTAGGCTTTGCTAAGAACTAGGGCTGAACGATTAATCGATTTTAAATCAAAATCGCGATTTGAAATAATGCCATTATCAAATCGCAAAGCCTGCGTTTTTTTAAAACATTTTTTATTTTTATTTTTCTTGTGTGTCAATCATCCACACCAATCAGAAGTGCTGTGCTCCACATGTAGCAGCCATTGTTAACCAATCAAAAATGGCCCATGATAGAAGGTGATAGACAGATTGATCCAATCACCTGCCAAGTATTTTTGAAAGTGCCTGCCCTTTCCAAATGGCTTCCAATGGAGCTTTCCTAGATGGTTTGGTGAAACAAACCATCTGAGTCAGGTTAGTAATGCTCCATCACATGTTTCTATTACAGGGTGAATCTTAAACTGAAGCTTGACTTTAAAGCAACCCAACGGAAGTTTCATGTAAGTTTAGTTCTTTCACTCGTAGCTCGGGCTGCGGGGGTGCTAGAGACGGGAGCTCGTTGATACGACCTTCCTAGCCGGAGATATGGCCGCATTTTAAAATAAACGTCCGTTGGGTCGCTTAAAAACAAATATCGCAAATCGAATCGCAATATCTGTCAGAAAAATCGCAATTAGATTTTTTTTCCCAAAATCGTGCAGCCTAGATGAGATGAAATGAAATATAAATACCTTTCTAACTGTATATAAAGTACTTTGTATCCCTACCTGACATGCTTTTCTCCACTAGCTACTATTGTCACTGGCTTCCCTTTCATTAGAGGATTATCTTTTCTTCTTCATGCCTGTCATCCTGCACGATAACAAGGAAACATGGTAGCATCAATGCTTGGATTTGAAAGAAGGTGTGAGTTTGTGTGTTTTTTAAATTGATTTATACCACAATCAGGGACACACGACTCAAACCAGCTGATTGGGAACAGCTTGTCTAATTGGAGGAGGCATCAATCTTATGTTCAATATGGTGTTAAACAGAATCTGTAGAGCTTTGTGTTCCTTTAATCTTCCTTTCCCCATTACTGTAAATAATACTTGCACCACCAGAAATATTTCAGCCGGCATATGGCGTAATTCGTTAATGAACCTATCTGTGTATTAGAAATCATGTTTTCCTTCCACTGCATCTCATAATCAGCATCTGGTCAGAGACAGTCTGAATGTAAACAGCGCCTGGAGTGTCGTTTATTTTGTACATGTCTCATATTGTAGTCATTAAATGAATCCATATGTCCAAGCACCCGAGTGGCAGAGGCAGAGAGTGAAATTAACAAAACAAACAAATGTATGATTCATCCCCGGCCTCTCTCCTCTCCCCCCTCCCACATCACTTTCTGACTCTCGTACACATTCCCCACTGCTGCTGTTTATCTTTCATGAGCCCAATAGAGCCATTGTCATGTCGCCTTGCTGTTTCTATGGTGACGCGGTGCGATCTGTCGCCAGCGAGTCTCTCGCCCCGGTGACTCCCAAGCATGTCCACTTTCTCATAGATGACAGTCAGATCCAGTAGGCTCTAGTAGACACACACACATATAAATTGTCTTTATTACCATGACCACTTCGAGCACAATAATGCCAGTGCAGTTTGTAAGTAGTCATTTACAAACAAGCGCCAACCACCACGTCTAAAAAGGGAGCAAATGTTGAGGTGTCTTAAACGTGCATTCTTTCAAATATCCAACAAAGGGGATCGCCGCTTGTTGCAAAGTGGAGAGAAAACCGTATTCCACAAACTATGTCCACTTCTTAGTCTATTCAAACAATGAAAAACTAAAGTTTTAGTGTAATCAAATAATGTTTTTTTGTTTGTTTTCCACAGTACATTTTTAACAATATATTCAAACTTATCTTTCCATTTAGTTTTTTCTTTTGAGCTTGTATTTCTATAGGTAAGCAGGTCTCTTCTCGCAACTGATTGCAATGCAACATCATCAAGCAATACAAAAAAAGAATGGATACAGTGGTGTATTAACGCCTCTGATTCCGGGTGTTTTTTTTGTAGTATCTGAATGTTTTGTTGATGTCGTGTTTCTTTGTAAATTGAATGTGTCAAGCTGAACAAATTAGCGCCGTCCTCTTTGTAAACCTTTTTTTTGTACTTCTCCCTCGGTAACCCTGTGTTTAACGTTTCAACGCTATGGCTGGTGGTGGGCATTACTTCTGATCAAATCTGCAGAAATGCGGACTTACAGAAAGTTTGCAAAAAGGCTGAAACTGTCCCCATGCATTTGACTATCCTGTGAGTGTGTACACTTGGATTGGGCTGCTGTGTTTTGTCTGGGTTGCCAGGTTTGTCTCCCCCAGCCTCAATAGTCCGGCTGTTGTCATCCTCTTTGTATTTAGTTCATGTCTTTCTTAGAGTGCTTTCACACCTGAAGTTCAGTTCATTTGGTAGAGACAAAGGGAACAACTTATTCATTGTTAAGTACATGAGTATGATACAAGCAGTTTTTGATTGTTATGACTGCTTGTTACCATGGTTATTTAATGGTATATCATGTATTAATACTATGTGTTATGATTTGGTTTAGCTTGTGTCACCACATTACACAAGATCCTGTGGTTGGTCCATTTGCTGCAGGGTTTTAGCTTGGATTTCCCCAATATGTCGTTTTTTCCTCCATCTCTTACCTTGTCTCTGGCTTACGCCACCTCTGGATCATTACCAAGATGCCATATAGGTCTTCATGTCCAAACTTGGTCTCTTTAGCTGGAGGTATGAGCAGAACACACACCTGCTCTCTTTCCTAGACAGGAAGCTATGAAATGACTTTGGAGCCTGTTACGCTGACACTCGTCCAGCTGGTGCCGAGCCTCAGGCAGCTGCGGGCGGACAGGATTGGCACCAGCGCATACGTACATGTTAATGCTCCACAATGCAAGCGTACAAACGCACACATGCATATCTCCTCTGAGAGTGCCAGAGAACTCATCACACCATGATAAATGACATGTGCTTACACATCATCAGAGAGACGGCTACTACACGGGCGCATCATCCACTTTACCTGCTGTAGGACGGATGTGTTCGTAGATGAGATGGTATGAATGTTACTTACAGGATATCCATAGGCAGAGGGTGCATGCCTCTACTAATCCTCTGAAGAGGTTATTTTATTAAAGTCCATTCTTATAAAACTGTTCCACATTTCAGTCTGAAACCTTTTTCTGTGTCCCAAAGCAATGAATCCTTCTTTATGATATCTCAAAAAATGAAAGAAGAATCAACTTGTATATATTACAGAAGGTTCAACTACCGTGCAGTGCAGTATCAAGCCCATTATATGTTCTCCATTGTTATAAGGTTTGCTTAAACATTGCATCACTAATTGCAAAGCCGCATTTTTGTGTGTTTGACGAAGCAACAATAACTTTGGCGCTGGTTCTGCAGGTGCATTGGACTGTTGTGTTATCAGGAAAAGGCCATGACTAATATAGCTTTTACTGAATTTTGGTTACACCGTATTGATTAAAAGTATCGGTAATATATAATTATATATTTTTGTCGTATCAGTACATTTTCCAGCCTGTTGTGGTTGACCAAATCTGGCATTTTTTAAGTACTGGACATTCAAGTTCAAGTTTTGCTTTCAGTACAACATACACACTTTTTCAGGCGAAGACTCCCAATAACACTGGTCTATTTCAGTCCGCGGGGTCTTAAAAAGTATTAAAAGTTGATAAATCAATTTAGCGAAAATTAAGGCTATTAAAAATGATTAAACTACATTTTCCAAGGTATTACATTTTGTAGCTTGTTTTCAATAAGTATATCAATCGTCCACTGAGTTTGTATTCTACAGTGTGCCTGAATGTAATCATTGCGTAGGTGTGTAGTGTGATTCTGTGTAGTTTATTTATGGCATCCCGTTGGATTTGACGTCATCTGAACAGGACATCGCACGCTCACTGCTTGATAGTGCACGAAGGTCCGTTTACGCCGGTTGTTAAACAACGTCGTTATGGGGAAATGCAAGTTTGCGTGCAAATGGTTGGAAGATAAGGAGGAAGGACAATCAATACTGTATATAGTAAATGTGAGGTAAAGTGTGTCGCCAAGGTAACCGGTTAGAACTCCAAGTGGCGATGAGGTCTTAAAATGTATGGAAAGGGTCTTAAAAAAGGTCTTAAAAGGTCTTACATTTGACTTTTTTAAGACCTCATCGCCACTTGGAGTTCTAACCGGTTACCTTGGCGACANAACTGGAAGAAACTGAAGCAAAATCTGCTACTTTCTTACAGAGCCCCTCCTCCAACAACAAGAACGCCGCACATGACCAATGAGGGCCACGAGATAAGTTTGTGCCACATGGGAAGCCTGACAAGCAGGTAGCCCATCCAGCTTATTTTGCTGCGGCCGGGGCTCAGATGATTTGGTCGTGCTTTTTACAGTACTACGGCTTCCACAGATTTGTATTGTTTTTTTTGTCAAAAGCACTTCAGATATTCATTGTTTCGGGATGTTAAGAGCTTCCAATGGAATGAATAACAAAAAGTGGTATCTGAGCCACCATCGGCTTTTCTCAAACTTACCTTAACCCCACCTTTAAGTCATGGATGCCTTTAAAGCTTGCTAACTCTTTCATATTTTGTCTAATATTTAAGTTTCTTTTCATTCGAGGAAGCTATGACGCCCCCTGCCGCTGCTCTCAGGTACGCTTGGTCCATGTTTTTGATTCGCGGGGGTAAAATGCTTGCAAGCCCCCGCCCTTTTTTCACGGTGAACGCACACTCAGCCGGACAGAGAAAACCCTGGCTAGCCTTACCTAGGGGCGAGGTTTTGATGAACCAGCGTCGTAGGATCCGCTTAGTGGAGATTGCGTTTGTTTTTGGGTTAGTTAGCCCCACAAAACTGAAAACATATCCAGGGTATGGTGCAACTGGAATTCTTAGGCTACAGGGCCTCTGATCAAAATGGTTGGGTGAACCCCAAACAGAACACAGATAGAGACAACAACACTCACAGCAGGCTCCGGGACTTTAACAAGCATCAGGTGGAGCCTAGAATACCTTTTGTATTTATCTGGAACTCTGTTTCCCTGCCTGCTCAAAAAGAATATTTCCCTCCTGCTGCAGGATAGACTGAATGAGTTTTGGACCTGGCACGCCTTTTTTTGGTTATTACCCGAGTGGTCGCATGAAGACCTCATCAGGACTCTGTGATAATGAGCAGTTCTCTTTTCGTAGAAAGGACGGAAGTTTCCCTAAGAAATCATATATTTTTTAACAGGGCTTACCTGAATCTTTCACTGTGGAACTAGGTCCAATTAATCATTTAGGCCAATGCCAGGAGCTTAAAGTATTTTCAGAAGTTTTCCAATGCTAAGTTGAAATTGCCTTTGGCTCCATCATTGTGATCAGTTTGCTGAATTCATAGACAGGACTTATCACAGGAGCTATTCGTGTTGTTTAACACTTCAAAAAACTGTCAAAGTGTAAGGGCTACCCTGAGTAGCTTTTTGCACCACAAGCAGCCCCATGAATCCAATGCTTTTTATGCTGTATCCAGCGTGAACACAATGACTATTACTGTACCTACCAATGGTTACTGCTGATATCCAGGGAGGCTGGGGAGAAGCCAACAATGCGTCAGCAAATGCAAAGTGTTAAAAGAAAAAAAAAAACACTACAAAGTAAACATAGCTTATAAACAATTGAAGGGTTAGCCATTATAGTTGGAACAATCTTGATGCAATAAACAAAAACGAGTTGTTGCTTGTACGCAAACTCATAAATAACCGCAACACTTGTATACTGGTCCATTCGACATTGTATTTTTTAAGTTTGTATCGGAATTAGGGACATAGTCCTGTTTTACTTTGGGTGTTAAAACAGAGATTATAATTTCATCAGAAAACTATAAAAACATGAAATCCAGGTTTTTTCAAAAAGATATCTGCAGATGAGACATATCAGGAACATACACTTTGGCTTTTAAAGTTATTGCTGACATATGATGTCATTTAAGCAATTTTATGTTTTATGAGCGTAAGATTAAATACGTTTATGGTACTAGTTGGCTAGTCTAATGCCAACAAAACTTAGTACATTTTTGTAAAAGTTACCTGTGTTTGGATTACAAACCACCCGCGACCACCTACGATAAATTGTCACTCTTTACAGCTACGTTCGCGTTAAATTCACTCTTAGTTACTTTTATCAAATATATTGGACTATTAAGGCAGAACTGCATGTCCAAACAGATCATAGAAATGATACAGGGACCTTAGTTTGACCCGAAGGACCAATCCCAAAGTTGCCGTAAATGGGAGTGAAAACCGTTTTTTAACAGGAGTACCGCATGTACATCGAGGTAACCAGTGCATTTAAGTAACAATGTCAAACCATATGTGGACCTGCCTCTATCGAAAATTCAGTCGCATTGACCCGAAGACACATTTTGAGTTTGTATACACTTGGCTGGAAAAGAGGATATTCCTAGCCTTTCTAATGATATCAGGATTGTTTTGTACTTCCAAATATAAAGCGAAATATGTCCACATATATAATGACTGTCACCGAGTCATATTTTGAGAAAAGGCCCTTCAAATTTTTCTCTTCTCTGGATCCATCGATCTGATTGATGTTTATGGCGGAGCAAATGATCAAAATACTACGGAGGGAAGATATTTTCGTGTATTGCTGGTCTGGGAGAAGCTAGCGAGTGTGTGTGGGGTATACGGTGTGTGTGTTGTGTAATTTGCGTTGTGTTATTGGTTTTGTTTTCCCGGGGAAACCCTCACGAGAAACACCTGCTGTTGTTATGCCTGCTGTGACTGATTTTAATTACTCCGTTCTCCGCTGGTATTATGCCGTACAAGCTTCAAAGTTGTTATTATCATCTGAATTTGCCGAAACAAGAATATTCTGAAAGCCAAACTTAGTTTTAATTGAAATCAGATGAAAATCAAACTGTAACGGACCCCTGCCTGTGTTATTATGATTACTCTACGCTACATTCATAATGTCAGCCGGAGGGAGGGGGAGCGGCACTGCGGAAGAGCAGATTGCCTGTCATCTTCCCTTTACAAGCTTAAAGAATATATTTATCGTGTGAGTTTGGAAATAAAAGTTTCATATTCTGAAAGCCAAGACTTTGTTTGTTTAAAATCAAACAAAACACCCGAACCCCGAAAAAATAGTTTTTTATGCAAATCCACGTTTATTTTGAAATGAGCCGTTGCGACTTCCGACTGATTTCGATAGAGCGGGTCACATATGTTCTCTGTATGGACATTATTGTTAGAGGACACTTCCCCCCAAGGAGACATCATGACAAGATGTGCTGTAATTTATGTTTGTGAAGGCAATCAAGCCCAACCTCCGCTGCTGAATTCTTTCTAGAAAGCTGCATGGACGTGACATTATGGCACACATTCCCTCGACTCTTATGGTATACATCAATGAGATTGTAGCCTAGGGAGGAGGAGGGGGCTTCATATAGAACAATGTATTCTGTGTGACCCTCTTCTGTCTGTACAGTATATAAATACAGTACATTTCAAACACAGTAAGAAAACCTTTAAGGTGCTAATAAAAAAGTTAATAAATAACAACCGAGAAAAAGAGAGTAACAACAGCAGACACAAACATTAATAAAAAAGTCAGATTAATATAAAGCCAGACGGTGAAGATATTGCCTAAAATATTTGACAGAATATTTTTATCTCAGCCTGAGGAAGCTATATCACTTAGCAAATATTGTTTGTCTCCTTTCGTCTCCATCTTTCAACAAAGACAAGTGAAGTGAGAAAAAGGCTAATTTAAATAGACTTCTATACAATCTGTCTTCTTTTGCAACCAGAAGACTCTTCCCAGCCATTAGAAAGGATGAAGGGGAAAGGGTCTTCTGCATGGGTTCCACTTTTCAGACAGAAAGTATTTTAGTATGATTTCAACTGAGAGCCTACAATTGAAACATTGCCTAATATAGAATGAATGAAAGACATTTTGTAATGAAAGACTTCATGATTACAGTGCTTTTCTAGAAAGATAAGACTGTAATTTGTTGTGATATGATTGCTATATTGTAATATATTTGGCTTTTCTCAGCTTAATTTGTTTTAAATCACAAAATACCACTGGCTAAGTAATTCAAACTCCATGCTGCCTTCTCAGTGTGTGTCGGCAACAGCTGAAATGTTTACAGACAAAATGTTTCAAACACCACCTCTCCTCTTCACCACCTCAGTATGAACAAACTGGCCTGTATTCTTATGGCTTTTGTCACAGATTGTTGTGCCATTGGTGGCGAGAAGAAACTCCAGGCCTGTCGACGTGCGAACAGCCAGGCTGTCGCTCACAGAAGTGTAATCAGCGGGGAGATCTGGCTTTCTTGGAAGAAAAGCTCCCTAATGTGCGCCCACATCTTGCTGAATTTGGATCACTGTCACACTCTGTCAAAAAACAGATTCTTAGACTCTCTGTATTTACACATTCACACCAAACCAAAGCATTTTGACAAGACACACCACATTTATTAAAAAAAAACTATCCTGTAACTATTTCATTACACTATTAGTAGTTACACAAAATGAATATGTTATCTATTAATAAATGTCAGAATTGCTTCAAATTCTCGCATCAAGATAAATGGTTTGGAAGTAACCGGGGATTAAAGCTCAAATATAGAAGATGTAAATATTTGTGTTGTTTAGTCACACAGCTGGCAAGTGTGCGACAATTATAAACACATAGTGGCTGCAACAGAGTGAAACAATAATAATGAGAACAATTATGTCATACATTATTAATGTGTTCAGCAGAACAGCTGGGTGCAAATGCAATCAAAACAAACAACTGATTGTGTTTAAAATAAAGGCAAGTATTACCAGACTAATGGGTACACTTCATGTAAAATGATTACAAATAATAGCTTTTATTGATGTAGTTCCATCAATACAACACCTAGTAGAGAAGGAATGGTGGATCTTTAAATAAAATAAGTGGTTTGTTTTTCTTAAAACATTTAGCAAAGAAGGTGTCTGACAAGAACATGTTATAAAATGAAATGAAGGTGATGTTTCCATACGCAGCAGCATCTAACAGCTGCTAAACAAAAAGCCCACAGACAGGAGAACAGCTAATAGAAAAGCAGGAGTTTGAGGAGTGGCCTTCAGAAACCTGCACTTAAACATGACTCACATGCTGAGATAATGTACTTTACCTAAGCCTAGCTAACACAGATTGGGTATACAGGACGTACGCTGTTGTGTTTGCTTGTGTCTGGGTATTACAGTGGTGCTGGGTTTCAGATATCTGACCTCACATGTAATCATGTTGATTCTGAGCAAACAGAAATACATAAAATAACCACTTATTTGTCCTTGAGGCTGAAAAATGTACTCATATTATTAACAGAATAAGTAGAGGTTAAAGTGTTGACGTTTTGTGAAAGATTTCAATGTGTTGTGGGTAAAGATATTGACTGAAACTAGCATGCCAACTACTTTGCATTACATGAGGAGTAAAAAGCAGTATCTCAGTTTCTATGGACATTTTACTTCCACGCACATGTTTCAGTAAATGCTGGAAATCTAACTGATTACTTAAAATCATTAAATGTTTGCATTAAGTCAGGAGTGACCTTACGTTTAAGTTCCATATGGTATCTTGTGTGGGAATATAAAGAGCTTGGCGGTTAAGTTAGCCAT